GAGTGATGGCCACTGCGTGTTGCTGGAAATCTGGAGGTGGGTGGCTTTGGAAGGGCAGCCACTGCCCAGCCCTTTTACTAGGGCTCCCTGGGTTGTTGAGGTGAGTGTAGTGGCAACCGTGGAAGCCCTAGTTTTATTCAACCCCCAGGTGCTGGGGCCCGACCATTCAAATAACTGGTTTTAATCTTTTTATTGTGGAAAAATAAGCAGAGCCTAGAATTACACCCATCAGCCAGACCCGGTGCCCCAACTCGCAGCTTATTTAGTTTCACCCAAATCTCCCAGCACATCCGTTCAGGCTCGGTGAGATTGTCATAGCCACACCTGCTGGTTAAGACCATGGCCCTCTGCAGTGACACTGGAAATCCAAGCTCCTTTCTGTGTTATTTTGAGAAACATTTAAATGTTCTGCGCCTCAGTTTCTTTGCCTGAAATAAATGGGTAATAAATAACACCTCATAGGGCTGCTGTGAGGGTTGAATGAGGTAAAATTTGGACCATGCCTGGAACCATTTCTGGTATTTATTATATAGTGAACAAGCATTAAATATTATTGATATTAAAACATCATTATTCAAGAGACAGAGGAAAAGCTATTTTTTTTTTTTTTTAATCTTGAGAAAGCCCTATACTAGGCCTTGGAATTTCCAGGGACACTTTGAAAAATCACATCCTAACTCTGTTTCCTGCAGTTCCCTGTCCACCCAAAAGAGGACTCTGCAGAAGGGAGGATCCTAGCTCAGCCTCAGTTGGGAACCCCTTGCCTAGTGTCTTCCTGCAGTGCCTTCTCTCTCTAAATGCTGGTGGGTTTGACACTTCGCACCCTGCACTATCCCATCTGGGGTTCAGAGCCTCACCTGACTCACTTCATGGGGGGACATTCCCCAGAGCTGAGGCTTTAAGCAGGACACCAGTGCCATTGCTCAAGCATTCTTTTTCCCAGGATTTGTTCAGACTGTGGCCTTCCTCGTGTGGACCAGGTATTGTGAAAAGTCATTCCGTATTTACTGAGCACTTGTCCTGGCTCAGGTACTGGGCTTTACAATTATTGTTTTATCTCCTCAAGCAACGTACAAGATAGGAATTGGAAACCTCATTTTCCAGTGGAAGAATTGTATATTAATTAATTGAAATATTTTTTTCTAATATATTTGGGATCAAATGACCCAGGTCATGGAGCAAACTGGTTTTGGGGGCTTGTTTGAATAATCTGCTTTATTGAAGTATAATCCTAGTCAAAGCAAAATTCATTAATTTTGTTATAATTCAGTGAAGTTTAATAAATGTATGCAGTTACATTTTCATCATCAAAATCAGCATATGGTTTTTCATTACCCCATAATGTAGAAGCTGCTTTTTGTATTATTCAGAATTTTAGTGAAATATAAATGGAAGAGCCAAATGTTTCAACTTTGCTTCATATTCATATCTAACTTACTGCTAAGTAAAATAGACTACTTTATCTTGCGTCTCAGTTTCTGCTCCTGCATGGTTATTACTGCCTACAGATATCAACAGATGGCACGAGTCAGACCAACCAGAGTTTGCAGTGTTCTCCATGTATACCTTAGAAGTGAGAATTTTTCTAATTTCCATATTTTATTTATTTTGGGAAGAGTACTCAGTTTGTTTAAAATTTATGATAAAAATATTTAAACATTAATGAAAGTAGAAAGAATCAACCTCTCCATTCCCTTCAACCAGCTGACCACTTTACTGTTCTTATTTCATTCAACCTCAGCATCTGCACTCAGCATTTTCTCTTTCGTGCTAGGATGTCTTGAAGCCTATTCAAGACATCATTTTATCTCTAAGTACTATAGCATGCTTCTCCAAGGACTGATACTAAAGTATCATTGTCACACTCAACATAATTAATTTCCTAATTTCACCAGGTAACCAATCCGTGTAGAACTTTCCCTAGTCTGAAAAATGTCTGTCCATAGTTGAGATTCCATTCTCAAGGGGCATTAAGATCAGAAGCGTGAGGGGAGAAATATCTAGAACTCAGTATAGCAGGACTCCCTGTTTCTTTTACTTTTACCTTTTCTTTCCTTGTTGACCTTGGCAAAAACTGCAGCTTCTATACCTTGGCAGATGTCCCATCTGAGTGATGGGGTGCTGAGTCCTGTTGACACTATCTTTGCCCCATCTTTGTCCTCTCCTTCTGTCTTCTAAATACCTTCTAGGCTCTTTATACTCTATTTCTCCATTGCCTTTGATTATGACTTTCTTGGCCCTAGTTCTGCCCAAGCTCTGATGGGCAGTGTGAAGACTTAAGTAGACTCTCCTTCCAGCAAAAACACCGTAACTGGCAAATTATGAAAAAACAGAAACAACCATTTAAAGTATATGGAAATTGTCTTAAGACCACTCAGCAATGAGAGAAACATTTATTCAAAAGAATCTTTGTGAGAATAGTGAGGATCTGTAACATTTGAGCCACAAACTGCCATGCTCACCACTCCAGTTCACTGTGACAGAAACTACTATGATTGTAGTGCAACTGACAAGGCAGAGCCCTCTTTCTCTCCAGTTCTCAGTTTGTAGTAAAGGTTGAGAGAAGGAGAACATCACCACTGTTATCATTTCTCTCCTTGCCAGCCCTGTGTTTCTGAAGCTCTATTTCAGGTAAGCATGGCTGAGAAGTTCCCTGTTTTAGTGTGGATTTTATTTATTTATTTATTTATTTGGAGAGTTTTTGCTATAGGGCACATGTGCTCACCAGAAAGACAGAGAGAGACAGAGAGATAGAAAGCGAGAAATCACCCCCCCAGGGAGGATGGCCACACCGCAATCCTTTCTCTTCCATTCTCCTCTTGGGATCTTGAGCATGCACACTCACACGCCCGGAGTGAGTTTAAGCCGCCGGGTCCAGGACTCAGACTACAGTCGACTACATGGAAGTCCAGTGACATAGCCATTACACCAACTGCTGGTCCCAGTGTGGATATTTTAAAATTTCTTTTTCTTGAAGTTTATTGAGGTTTTTGGGTTTGTAGATTCATGTCTCTTTAAATTTGGGAAATTTGAGCATTTTTCTCCAAGTAATCTCTCTACCACTTTTTTTTCCCTTCTCCTTTTGAATCCCTATAGGATGTATATTGGTTCACGTAATTGTGTCTTTGGACTCTGTTCACACTTCATTTTCTCTTTCTTTCTCAGTCTTAGTAATCTTTCTTTCTCTTCTTTCTCTTTCAGTTTTGCCTAAGGACATGTGCACTCACTGGAGAGAGACAGAGCTAGAGAGGGAAAGTGAGACACACACACCCACACCCAGGGAATATTGCAATATCTCTTCATTTCTCCCTCTTTTGGGGATTTTAAGTACTCATGCACATGTGCCTGGCATATTTTACAAGCTGCTAGGTCTGGAACTCGAACCATGGAGTCAGCCAGGTGGAATCTAGCCACCTTAACCACCATGCCACTGGCTGGCCCCAGTCTCAGTAATTTCAAATGTCAATGTCCTATCTTAATGTCTACTGATTCTTCTGCTTGGTTGCCTACTGTTGAACCTCTCTAAGGAATTTTTCAATTCGCTCTTTAGGTTTTTCAGATCCAGAATTTTTTATTGGTTTCTTTTTATCTTATCTATGTCTTTGTTGATATTCTCATTTACATCATAAATAAATTTCCTCATTCCTCTATCTATCCATGTACGCTTTAGCTTCTTGAGCATTTTTAAGATAGTTCAAATGTCAGATGCCTTTATTTCTTCAAGGGAGGTTTCTGCCACTTTATTTTCTTCCTTTAAATGGGCTTGATATTCTTTTTTCTTAGTCAGCTATATAATTGTTATTTGGAATTAGTATTTTAAAAAGAATGGCCTCCTTGTCCAGCCTTTACTGATTGGCTCTTTGGCAGGGCAATCCTTCACTGATTAGCTTGGCCCTTTGTCTGAACTTTGGAATTAGCCCAAAGGTGAAAGTTTAAGATTTTCTCAGGGCTTTTTGGGGAATGCATCTTGCCTGGGCCTGTGTATGTAGTTTTTGTTTCCCATAGTCTCCGCTGTCCTTGAATGTAGTTCTTCAACAGAGTCTTTCCTTGAAGGCTTTAGTAGTCTGTTGACATATGCTCCATAGTCTTTGTGCATCTTTCCCAAGCAGGATCCTCTGTTTCTAAATTCCTGAGTTACAGCAGAGACCAGTTCTTCAGACAGCCTCCAAAAGGGTAGAGCCTTGTAAATAAGGTCTTCTGTGCTCTGTCCTGTTTGAAGAAAGGTATTTGGAACTGGATGCTGCCTTAGATTCTTCTCCCAAGTATATGCAATAAAATCTCCCTTTCCCTGCCTGAGATCCATGTTAGATAGCTCTGGACAGGTTAGAACTGTTTACATAAAATAGGTGAGGCTGAAGTTAATAGAATGAATAAAGAGGTTTATTCAAGCCCAAATTGTAAAGGCAACTGAAAAGAGGAAGAACCCCCACTTACCTTTAGCCAGTGTTCCCCAAAATGGTGAGATCTAAGGTACATTTTATAGAGAGGAAGAAAGATGAAGGGAGGAGGAATAGAAAGGGCTATATGATTTGTAATGAGGAGTTTATGTGGTTGACATTTTCAACATAAGCTTTCCATTGGTTCTAGACTTCTTCATGAGGAAAGTCTCCTAAGCAACCAGAAGTTTTACAGATAACCAGAGCTGGTTCCCTGAATGGTCAGAGTGTTGATGTCTGCCCTAGGCTTAGCTCAATTTAAGAGGAAGCAGAAAGAAACAAAGAGAGTAGCAGTGGACACAGGCGGTCTGAGCCTGGGTAGCCCAAGCAATTTGTGCCGCCCAAATTGGGCACCTTTATTTATAGGGCAAAGCAACACTATGTACAGTGTACTTCATGACATTCCATAGATAAGTTGATATGTTATAGACAGGTAACAAATCTATTAAGGGCTTAGACATACTGGGCTGGGTGTATTGGTATATACCTTGGCAATATTCACACCAAAGAGAAATCCCAATAAACTTATCTAGTGGAGACAAGCCTAGCTGCAGGTATGGGGAGTATACTTTCTACAAACATCAAAGGGGTATTGATAAAGGCTAAAGAATCTTACAGAGGCAGAGCAGGGGTTGGACTTTGCTAATTGGGGTCAAGATGTTTCCTGAATTCCATCTGACTTGTCTGTTGGAAGGGCCCTAGAAAGTTCCACCCTTTGCTCTACCTGCAGCAAAGATCAAGGAAAGGACAAGCTGCAAGGTTCTGTCATAGCCAAAGGGACAGGTGATGTTTGCTCAGAGCATGTTCACACATTCTCAGGGCCTCCCTCTGAACATGTCCCTACAGTCAGAGCTTGTAACATCTTACTAATGCACGTCAATTAATCTGTAGTTCAGGCTATATCTGATGGAATAGGGAGGTTTCTCTTATATTGTTCAAGGAGGTCACAGGGTTACAATGAGCATGGCTAAAGTCTTGTGTCTGCCAGCCTATCAGGTTTTAGTTTGAAATGCCTTGCAATATTATTTTCTTAGAACATTGAGAACAATAAGGTGCATTCTGTTCCCTGCAACTCATTCCCAGAGAGGGAACCTTTTATAGACCAAGACTGCCATATCAGGAAGAAGGTAGAGTAAAGTCAAACAAAATGCCATAGAATTTCCTACTCTTTCCAGTGTGACTTTCTTTTGATTAAGTGGACACCTTTGGCTGTTTTCCAATAAAACCGGCTCCTATAAGATTATTTTAGCCAATATATTTATTGTTCATTTATATTTCCATAGAGAAATAGGGTTTAAGGCATCCTACTCTGTCATTTTGCTGACATCATACCTCTTGTTCTTATATGCATAGAGCAAGTAATTCTGCCAGAAAACTTTAATAGTCAGATTCGAATATAAAACATTTTCAAGATTAGAATTAGTAACACAATTTGATGCTTTTTCTGTTAACTGGTATGAGAAATCTCAAATATACAACAAAATTGAGAGAATATTGTAATGAATCCCCATAATCAACCTAAATAACAGAGAGACTCTTCAAAGAATAAATTTATTCAGGAATGAGCAGAACATTGTAGTATGTGTTATGCATGGCTTGGGGACATATCCAAGGAGGCTGAGGCAAGGGAATGCTTTTAAAGGCAAAGGAGAAAGTACAAATAATTGGCTTTAAACAAAGAGAGCATCAGTTACAGGGGCTTGTCAAGGGAGTTGGCCTCAGGGCTCTTAAGTATATATGCCCATAGTGAGAACTTGTGCCAATGACTTCTTTTTTTCTTCCAATATACCATAAAGTTCATGTGCTCACCAGAGAGAGAGAGAGCGAGAAAGTGAGAAAGTACCCCCAGGGAGGATGGCCATGCTACAATCCCTTCTCTTTTATTTTCCTCCTAGGGTTTGGGACACCCATGCACATGAGCCTGGCATGTTTTTCAAGCTGCCAGGTCCAGAACTTAAACTTCGCTGGCAGCCATGTGGGATCCAGCAACCCTAATCATCATCATACCATTAGCTGGCATACCAATGACTTTATAAACTGTTGCTTGCTACATGAGTAACAAGGGTGGCATGGTGTTACACAAGAAACACTCACCTAATGTACTTTTCTCTTTTTTGGCAGTTCATATATCTTTCTT